TGTTGTCTTCATAATTATTTAGTATTTAAAACAAAAGTGCTCGGTATATTGAAACGTTTCCAATTTTATGTATGGAAATATGTTGACACAATGTGCCGACGTTGTGCTAATTTAAAATGTCCTAATGTTCTTGTCTGAAAAAATTTAAAACTAAACCATTTAATTCTTATTATATTTTTATGAATACTCAACTCCCACGTTCATGTACGATTGATAATACTTACGTAGGCCGACGTCCCATCCACTACGAATGGGGTATTCTCTGAAAATGTACTGTCCTAAAAAATAAATAGGAGGGTCTGCGAAGTCTATCAATTAAATAAATCAGCCTTCTTTTTTCAATAACACAGTTTCTTTCATATATTAATACTATATTTAATATTTTATTTATAAATCTTTACGTTTGAGGACATTTACACTTTTACCATTGTTCCCCAGGGTTTTAAAAATCATAAGTATACGTTTCTTCCATCTCATATCAAACGCTTTTTGTAAGTCAAGTCTCGTAGCCATAACGTACTTCACTTCCCCTAACTACCTCGTATTGACTACTGTTAATTTAATCCGGCTTAAATCCGAGGCATACTTCAAAGCTGATACCACTTTGGGCTGTATCCATCCCTTTGGGATAATATGAGCGTAACCCTGATTATTCACAAATTAATCAGATTCACGTTGATTCCTGACGTAGACCTACAATTAAGCAGGTGAGATACATACGGACTTAACTTATTTGTTACATACGCTATAGTCATCGCCGTAGTTTCGTCCAAATAACTTCGGGTGCAGGCGAGAAGCTGTTACTGATTTGGGAATTATCTATTCCATAGCATAAACCAGCAAATTCGAACATTAGACATTTAGCAGCCTTGGACTCGGCGTCACCCGGACAGCCAAGATCACGCACGTTAGACATTGAGCATTTCGCGACATATACTTTGCATTAAGTAGGTGATATACGCATGGAGATACTTTGTCTACACGCACTCGCCATTGCTGTATAGTTTCTTCCCAATGAGAGCCGCCGCGTGCGAGAGGAGTTGTGCAACGCGCGTGGGGGAGTGGGTGCGGGCCGGGCCGGGCCGGGGGCGTGGGGAGGCGTGGGAGGTTAGGCCCGGCGCAGGCTCCTGCGCCGCCGCATTCCGAAGCTGCAACGCGACGCGGGCGACGGCGTTCGGGGCGCGGGGCGGGCGGGCGCCGCTGCTCTCGGCGCTCGCGACCACGCGAGGACATTGGGGCCCCCGACATATTATAGCCCATGTTGGATATGACAAACAAAAATATTCGCGCAGAACTCTTTGAAGTATTGTATTTTTTTTCAAATATTAATTTGGGAATTTTATTTCTTCAATTGACGTAGACATCATAAACGAAACTTATGAGCACCTTTTGAAATTTATTAACGGTAGATGTTGATTTAGCCGAGATCGTTAAAGCATTGTACGCTTTTGGCCAGGGTGTGCTCGTGGCTTGGGTCTGTTCGAATCTAGAATGAAGGAAGAAAAATGTATGTATACTCATGACTTGATGTGGTTTGAGAAGTCTTCTTAACCGTGATTATCTCCCATATGACTGTAGTTTGCCAATGGTTAAATCGGAGGGACAAGCCATTGTAAAGCAAGTGGTGGATGGTCCCTACCGATCTTGGCGGGATATAAAGCTAACGGTTTTGCTACTTCACCTAAAATATGCTCGAATATCCAACGTTTCGTACTTTGAGGCGCTGTATTAGTATGTATGCAAGTATGTATGTATGTATGTATGTATGTATGTATGTATGTATGTATGTATGTATGTATGTACGTATGTATGTACGTATGTATGTACGTACTTGCTGCGACAGCCCGTGAACGGGCTCAGGCCTATTGGTGACGTCCCTGCCTCGCGGCCATGGGTTGAGGGGGCACGTGTGGTTAGCACGTAGACATCCCCACGCCTTATTCCCGTCTTATCAACCTAAGAAGTGAATTTTCGCATCGTCAGACACTGGAACATTGCAAGGAAACCGCTTACTATAGTCTTCACTCGACCGAGAATCGAACCTGGGGCTGCGTAGTGGAACGCTCTAACAGTATACACATAATTTAGCAACATAGCAATGATTTAGCCCTAAAAGGTGCAAAAAAATGCTACAAGAGCACACAAAAGTGTATCGGCCAACACATACTTGGCCAGTCAAATGTAAGAGAAAAGGACTACTAGAAATCAGCACACATTCATCGACAGACATCGATCGACACCGACATGGGAGACCTTTTTGGAGTTTCCACTACTGATTGGAAGCTGTGTTTGCCGACTTGACCAACGGGCGTGCCCTGGGAGCGATGTGTAACACGGCGCGGCAAATACAGCGATCACCGTCATGGAGCGTCCAAGTGGCGTATGGTGGGACGCAGTTTCCAACCGGCGCGGCGGAGGCCTCACAGCACCTGTTTCTTCACCGTACGGAGATACAGCTGCGCTAGCAGTTGCTTGAACATCCCCCTAAAACCCAGATGTATCACCTTGCGACTTCCAGATTATTGGCAATCTCAAAAAAGGCCTAGCACCGTGATGATGGAAGTGTAACAGTGGTGCCACCAGCAAACAAAATTTTCTGGTAAACAAAAAATTTAAAAAAGGTGGTCAGGTGGGATATGTACTAACACACTAATAGAGAGAATTTTGAAGAATAAAATTCCTCCCCTTAAAAAAGGAGTTTTAATTCGACTGACCCTCTTACCTATACTCGTACTACACTACCACACATTCGGGACACCAGTCTGCCGGAGCGGTGTGCTCCGTTGGAGAAGTTCTCTGGAGGGAAAACCCCGGTAGTTATACAGCCTGCTCGGATGCAGCAATTGTTCGGAGAGTATTCGAGTGGCCGGCTGCTCTCATCGGGAGTTTTCCGCGCTTTCACGATCAATTTCAGGCGAATGCCTGTATTCTAACAAAAGAGCCACGAGTTGCCCGCGACCTTCCTTTCCTCATCCTTGACCCCTCATCTTCCCCCCGTACAAGAAAACGCTTACAAATTCACGCCCCACGCCACCACAGGAATACATATGTATGAACCTCTAATTTTCACCCCAACGTGCTATATACTCCGATTTAAACGTAGTGCCATTTCCGGGTCATGAGCTGGAAGAGCGTCATCTAATCGGGAGCTCCAATTCCAAAAATGCACGTCATATCGAAGCTTCCTATTGAATGTGCCAGCCCCTTAGTCCAGCTCGTGACCTTCAAGTGTCACTAAGTTTAAATCGAAGCAAAATTGTGTTGGCACTAGGGATCGCAATCCAGCACTGTTATTAATCCCGCGGACGTTATGCTGGATTGACTTCATTGATCCCGCATAGGTTAAATTTTTGTATTGAATTAAAAAAATATATCTTCTATGGTAATAATAAACTATTTTCTAATAATTGTAAACAATAATTGTATAAATAATATTAATAATCAATATAATAATTAATTATAATAATTATTAATATTTATTTATTATTGCAAATTTCAAAACGTCTTACTTTTCTTAACTGATTGATTATTTTACTGTTGGGCTATTCATTTACTTATTTATTAATAAAAAGTCTAAAAACAATAAGAAATGAAAATATTTGGAAGTACTTTGTTGTAGTTTTTGTAAACTAGTTAACTAAAAATATTAATTCTAATCTTTACTTCAGGTAGTTATCGTATCAGCCGTCTTTATTCATAAAGAGAATCATATGAACATAGCTCAAGTTTCCGAAGTCTTTTAATTTTCCTTACTAATCAATCAATTAATTCATCCATCAATCAATCAATCAAAATCAAATCAATCAATTAAGTAGTGCCACGCGTTGGTGAGGGAATTAACGGTGAAAAATTTGAATGAATTTACGGGATTTGATACTTGCGAATCCGCAAGTTGTTGGGGGATCCTCCATGGCTTAAAATTACGCTGGATCCTGGTGGATTGCAGAGTAACACTTTTCTGGATTGCAATTCCTAGTTGGGACGTTTAAAATCGGCGCGCAGCAGGATAGCGCGTGCTTTCGGGGTTCAGCACCCTTGTGAAGGCAGCCAACTTAATCAGAGGTGCTTGAATCACTGACGTGACGTCGCCACCAATATAAAAAGGGTGTGCAAGCACCAGATGGAAAAAGTGATGCGACATCGATTACAAAACATGGATGATTGCTAACATCGATTGCAAACATTGTGAATTGCGGAAGTTTAAAAACATCGATAGAGTTAGTCGATGTATTTTTAGCATCGATTTTTTAGTTTTGAACATCGATGTTAGCAATCATCTATGTTCATAACTAAAACATCGATGCTAAAAATACATCGACTAAATCCATCGATGTTTTTCAACTTCGGCAATTCACAATTCTGAGACATCCTGAATCCTTTCGACTCTTTTTCTGTAGCTTCGAACTCTGAAGTCCGAATTCCCACCCGCTTGCAGGAGTCCCCGGTTTGAGCCCCGTGCGTGTCGGCGATGGGAGCCGCTCCGCGCCGCAAATCGATGAATGGAAAATTCCTGGTCGCGCACATCCCTCCTTGCATCATTCAACCACACGCCACGTGATTAAGTCATCACCGCGGCGTGGCCTCGCCGAAAACTCCCATGGCGCTGGTTGCAAGCCCGGGATGAGCGCTCTGCGACGGAACGACATCAACTAGGAGCTACAACAGCACACGCTTTCTCACATAATTTATAATATTGCATAATATTATTATATTCTGCTTGAACATTCGTTCGTGCAATATTTGAAAAAGTACGATATTACATCAAAATCAAGTTTATGTCATGTTTTTCGCGCAGTTCGTTCTATCCATTCAAAAAGTTTACAGAAAATATCTCGAGCCTCTTTTCAGGAAAGCTTATTTTAAAAATTGCCTTTAGTCCACGAACAGAATACGCGAAATTGACCCATATTTTGAAATACTTCTACTATTTAAATCTACAATTTAGAAGAATAGATATCATTAATACCAAATATCTCCATCATCAAAATTGCAGAAAATAATTAAACTTTTACAATTTTAGCAAATGAATTGAATTCATCAAAATATCCTCCTACTACATTTTTATAAGCATTCATTGCTGTATCTGAGAAAAAAATAATTTTCCGCCGCAAATAACTTTCTCTACATAAAGTAAGTAGAATGCGAGAAAGTAAAAATTGGCCCAGTTTCTCTAGGCGAAAGATGGGTTAAATGGCATTTTATCAAACAACAAATATTCTGCCCAGTTTCTTAGAATGTGTGTTAATAGTTTCGTGATTTCCATTTCTTAAAATTTTGGAGTACGCACATTAAAAACCAATATTTTTTTTTAATTCTTGTAATTTTGAACTATACGTAACGTGTAGCCATCAGAAGAAAAACAGAAATAATAATAATAATAATAATAATAATAATAATAATAATAATAATAAATATTTACTGACTTCATATATGTTTGAGGCTTTTAATTAAAAACACAGAATATTACATTGTACTTATATTTTCAAACATTTTAATTTATTATATATTTTGACATCATCATTAATTAACTGCAACTAGTTCGTTAAATAGGAAATCAATGGTTTCTCTGTCTAGTGTACTTACGAGTTCTCCTGTCCTGATCCGCTCTGATCGGTACTGTCGCGTCATCGCCAATCTCGTCCGACCTAAAACTCATCCTACCTACCAATCTGCTCCCTGACACTCCTCATCCTCCCCGGCCCTTCATTTTAATTTAATAGCTTCGCCTCGCATCGACCTGCTGTTTACTATGATTATCGTTACTAATGTATTGGAATCTATGGATAACTAAACATACTGTGATATTTAGTTAATCAAGACGCAATTGCGTTTACTGAAGAAATCAAAAGCATTTTGAAGTAATTTTTTGGTGGTTTTAAAAATGTATAATTCGCTTTCGTGAATTTCCTCAGCGTTTTGGAGATATTCCCGAAAAACACTTAAATTTACTTTTAGGGAGTATTTTTACAAAATGTCATACAGACTAACTTTTTATTTAGCTGTGAAGGTCAGATGTTCAAAATTTTATTAAGATCGGAATAAAACTGTAGATTTTTGTGAAAACACAAACAAAGAAACGTTCCTCTTTATGAGAGAAAAATCAATTATTTTAAAAAAACAGATTCAACTATACCCGACAAAAGATTATCTTTCAGTGAAAACTTATCTTCCGCATGCCACCAATAAACTAGTTTTTTTTTTCATTCCCTAATTTAAGAGAGAGTCACATGAGTGGGGGCATTTAGAAACGAGTAAACCTGATAAAGTAAATCATTTCTTCATTCATCGAAAGAATTGATGTCGTCGGTCTTCCGCACCGCCCCTCTCACTCCTGCGCAATAAAATGCATCGCCAACTTATTAAAATCAATGCCGCCATCGGGCACACGCGCGTTCTGGAAAACGCTACAAAACACGGTCGCCAAGCGTTGTTGCCAGGCGACGCGCTGCGCCTTGGCTAGGTGCAAGCGGAGCGGCGCGGCGCGGCGGTGCAGCGGGGTGCAACGGGGTGCAGAAGGTGTCGTGCTGGCGGCGAGGTATCGACCGTCGCTGCATGCACCACGTGCAGCCCACGCCTGCCTTCGCAACATGCCAGGCGGTATCGGAAGGCACTGACAGGCCGTGCGCCGTGCCTACAAAAGGAATTCATCGTGGGCGAGGATGTATCGAATTCAGCGTTTGTCTGCAGGAGAATTGCAGCGTGCAGCCGCTCTGATTGATAGTTTTGCGTGGTTTCAGTGGCCTAACAATCGGGCCACGGATCGCGCGCGCTTCCTCATTCTTGGTCTACCTCCTCCTACGCACACAGTGGCACTACCACACATGTCGAGAGATCAGTCGGGAGCTTAGAACGTGTCCCAGAGAGTGCGGTGGATCACTGGGAAGATTTATTCGCAGAGGAAAATATTTCGATAGATGACGGGTAGGTTGGCGCCGGATTTCACCATTCTGTGAGGGGAACACCGCCACCTCCCGTGATGAAAAATGCAGAAAAACATACGAGGAATGACCATAGCACTTGTGTCCGAAAATTCAAAATAATCAAACGAACCAAAACATTTCTACGCGTGACTACATTAAATCATTAGAGTTTCTACTTAATTTAACAGACCTCTAGTAGATAGCAGGTTATAGATAACTGGAACCCATGGAACAACACACCATGGGTTCCAGTTATCTAAAAACGTAACTTTTTTAATAACTTCTGGCTTCACGAATCGCTATCTTTCCTTCTTCTTTCTTGCGCTATCTAATTTACTGTGACGTCATGGATACTCACAGCGACCACAGACACAGAGCTTTCGTATAACAAACAATTTATAACAAGAAAACAAAACAAATAATACAACTAATAATCTACTTACACCCTAGCTCTGGATAGACCTACTATCCCCTGCATCGCGGAGCGATCCAAACCCAATTGAAGATGTTTTTATTGTGCATTCGCCACCTCCTACTTTTGAAAGCGCGCCACAAAGCCTAGCTTCCGGTGACCGATGTCACGCATGGACACAAATCCGTTCTGGCGCACCAACGGCTGTTTGCCTGCGGATCGCAAGGACCGATCTTATCCGATCTGAGAATCGGCGTGAATCGTGGCAACCAACACTCTTCACCTCGGACCACGCACCACAGCAATCGCCCCCCGTGACCGCAGTCACCAGGACATTAAAGTCCGCAGGCTCGTCAACTAGTGACTCCAGCCTCGCGAGCCTAGGCTCGCATATGCACCGTCGTGGCCGCTAAAGTTTGTGCACACGCACGAGGTTCTTCCCACTGTCTCCAGAAACCCCACCCAACGGCTCTGTACCCTGTTATATAGCGAGGCCCACGTGGACCACTACGTCACGCCATTCCCACTCGCTTGTTATAACAGTGAAAAGTTTCTATAGGCCGATTACTCCCAAAGCCCTTGGTCTCCCGTGTCCGACTCTTCCCTTTACGGAAAAAAAACCCTACTTCCTTGGCTAGCTAATCCTCTTCCAAGCGTCCCCAAATAGATGCCATGAGGCACGCTGGCTAATACGTTACATTACAAACACAGTTACATGAACTACTCTATCATATTTGTTGGAGCTTAGAGCTCGTCCCGTATGGCCAGAGCACACTCTGAGAAGATACCTGGAGACGAAAATCGACGCCAGATCCCATCGACCAGCCGGAAAGGAACACCGCTGCCCTCAGAATATAACATGCACTACACTTACCACCACCTTCCGGTCAGAGGCCGCGCGAAGTGACATCAGTTGCGGTTCAGAGTCATCTCAGTCAATGGAATCATTGGTGTCCAGAGTCATGCAAATTTCCCGAAACCGACATTTTTATTTGTGTTCATTCTAATCATTCAAAGGAAATTCATTGACACATATATTATTTCTCGGGTAGAGATACAATTCGCAACGCTCGCGCCCAACCAAACGTGGTAGGGGAGCCAGATGCAAGAACTTCTCAAAGAGATGTATTCAGCTTAATTTAGTAAATATTAATATATGTTGAAACACGCGTCAAATAAGTAGTTGAAAAAGCAAACTGCAAAATAGCGTGCTTAACGGCCACTTGGTATCAACTGTTCAAGTTTCGAAAACAGCGAGTTCTACGGCATTACAATCTGATTTTCGATATCAAAAGCCTCAAGGTATGTTGCGAGCACGTAATCCACGATATATTTTATAGATCTTTCAACTACACTTATCGAGTTTCAGTTTCTCTGGGTACCCCGCCCCCTTGCACACTTGGTGGAAAGGGCGAGGGGTGGAATATCTTGTATTCAGCTATGCTGAATCTCGAATTCTATTAAAAAACATTTCTCTAACTAATTTTCCTTTCCAGTAGATGTGATGGGAGAAAAGGGTCAATCGGGTTTGTACATGCTAGAGGTGCCAGAAATTGACCGTACCGTATTTTTAAAGTGTGCTTGGGTATAATTTTATTTCTTTCAACGAAAATATTTTAAACATTTTTACAATTTCAAAGTTATTTATGTGGACGGAAAGGCAAACAGAAATTGACCCCATAATGAAGAGCGAGAGAAAGAAATACAGAAAGAAAAATACAATCAGTACCACCAAACATATATGAGGCATTTTCTTCCTTTACCTGTGAAGCTTCCGCTGCGAATCCGGTCCTCCAAGGCAGGAGCAGGAGCAGCTGATGTGGAAGGACACGTAACAGTAAAGGCTGCAGATGGGTCTGCAACAAACCGAATTCCCTTTTGATAAAGTTTGCCAAACACTTCTCCTGGCAAAGATAAAATAACTTTTTGAGTTATCAGATAAAATCGTTTTCATGAATTACTACGGTTACCTGTAAATAATTGTTACAGTTAGAAATCTAGTTTATGTTAAAAAATTAATCAAAATAGTAAGTACGTTTGAACTCGTGGACGAATGAGTCTAGACACAAGATCACTCCTAAACTCGCTTCTCGGGTGTGAATATAATGAAATTTAACAATGAGTCGTCAATGAGAACAGACATCACGTTGCTCCATGCATCCCCTTGTGGTCGCTCATAATGCTCGGCAATAGCGACATTATAGAGGAAAGTACCCAAACCCGGGCCCCTACTTTGTTCTCGACTATTTTGAAATAAGACTTTCTGCATAATTAAATCGAACTATTCGCAATGCATTACCACTACGCAATACTTTACTTACTTATACACATGTAATATTATATTTAAAATTATTGGCCAAGTAATTTAAGAATAGATTAGTTTTTTGTAAACATTACATTATGTGAATTTTTAAGAAAGGTTTCCAAACCTTTTAAAAAATGGGTAAAAATAAAAATAAAAATGAAAATATATTGAAAACAGTATAATGTTACAAAAATACTATTTTTACATTTTATAGACAAGAACTTGTGTGTCATGCACACAGTCTGTACATTCAAATGCGACAATAGCCACATATAAAAGCATCTTTTTCCGCCACCTCACATTCTACAGGACCCGATAGTGAACACATTATTTACTTCACCCTAGTTTTCCTACAGTTCTCTGAAAATTTTACACGGCAAAATATGTGCTCTGCATCTTCTTCGCCTGGGAGGGAAAATAGCCCTGGAAGAGCTTCCAATTCAGAAGAGCCAGAGGACACGTTTAATTCCTCGCCGGAGGTAGAATCTTCCTTTCGCTTTTTGTTTCTTCAGAATTTTCTCCTTGGTTCTCCCTTTTTCGGCTTCTCTGAGATTAAATTCTGAAATTGTCACTTCAACTCTTTCTTCTTGCCGCCGTTTCGAATGATAGGCTCTTGCTTTTTTATTAGACTCTTAAGGTATAAAGGGTGCCAAATACCTTAAATGTTTTTATTTTACAGGACCGAAAATTGGAAGTCCGCTTTGGGAGACTCGGGTTAGGCACCAGCGTGTTTATATTCCAAATACTAATAACAGTTTTACATGGCAAGTACAATAAATTCATTACCCTGCATCAAGAGCTTGTACTTGCCCCTTCAAAATAATGTAACGGTTAGAAGACTTACCGATGAAGGGGAACTGAGAAACAGCAATTGATAAACTTTGCTTTTCAATGTGCGCACTATTACGTAGACGACTGTACGGAAACAAGTGAAGATGAAGACACTATCACTCGACTGGGCTGCAGCCTTACAAAGAACTTTCTATTTTTAATTATCTTTCCTACAACCAACATGCACTCTACAACCTGTAAACCAAGGTACTCGCATTAGGAACTGGGCCAGTATTGGATACTTTTCTCTATATTGCAAGAAGATTAAAGAGTACCGAAATTTACAAGCTGACAGAAAACTGAGAGAATTTTTCGTCTCCAGAAGAAATTAAATACATCTAAGAATCTATCTTCCCCGATTACCTTCTCTCAATTATCTCTCCCTACTCTCTTTCTCCTTTTCACACATTCCTTTCTCCCCTTTCTCTCCGTCTATCCACTCCCTCCAGCTCCTTTTCTCTTTCTTTCCACTCTCTCCATCATTCCCTCCCTTCCCCTTACCCATTCCCACTCCCTTTTTTCATTTTCTCTCTTTCTTTTATCTCTTCCTCTTCTTTGTCACCTTTTGTCTCTCTCTCTCTTATAATTCCTCTTTCTTGATTATCCCTCCCTTCTCTTTCTCTTTCTCTCTCTTCTCTCTTCTCTCTCTCTCTCGTCATTTCTTCTCTCTCCCTTTTCTAATTTCTTTTTTCCCACTTTCTCCTGCCACATCACCCTTTTCATTTACCCTCTCTCACCTCCGTCTCCATCCCCCCCATTCTCTCATCCGTACCTTTCCCCATGTTTCTCTCTCCTTCCACTTCCCCTCCCTTTCTTTTTTCTTTTCTTTTTTCCGTTCATTCCTTTTTCTCTTTCCTCTCTATCCCTCCCCTTTGTTTTCTTCGTACCCTGTTTCTCTCACCTTTCTGTTCTCCCTTTTATTTCTCCTCCTAACTACCTCTCTTCCTCTCTCCTCCCCTTCCCTTTCTTTCACCTCTTCTTTTCATTCTCTTTCCTCCCTTTTCGCGAGCGTCTCACTTCACCTCACGTAGCAGGGGGGCGGTGCGGCGCGCGCGGGGCGGAGCAGCGGTGCCGCGTGGGCGCCGGGCGCGTGGCTGCGCAGCGCGGAGCGCACGTGCGGTGGAGGCGGCGGTGGAGGCGGAGGGCCACGGCGCGCCAGCAAACGTACAACTGAGCTCCGCCCCTCCCTCCCCTGCCCTTCCAACCGCCCCCGCGGCCCCAATTACGCTAACCGGATCGACCCCAAGGCCCCCGCGCTGTCCTCCCTCAACACCGTCTCCGATCCCCCACTCCCCTCTGTCCGCGAGGCTCTTTCAGCTCAATTTATGGCTTTCACCGAACTTTTAAGTAGAACCATTTTGTAACGCAGAGATCGCGCTCTGCGGAAAGGACAATTACGACAAAGTAGATGTTTGAAGGAATTTGGTATGAGAATTCCCTCAAAGACAAAAATGTTTCTCCGACTTTACACAGACATTAAACTAAGCACCTACTATGTATCGCACATACGTCACATTTCGAACGGAACCGACTCGTTTTAGGCAGTTATTCCTGCTACTTGAATCTTCGAAAGGCAAATTGTCCCGGTTTTTGAAAGCGAAACACTTTCGATAACGATTTCAAAAACACAACAAAACACGGAAAATCGAGAAAATCGACATTAGCTTAGTAATCATCTAGTTATAAATTATTTATATCTTTTTACATTTCACAGCATTAGGGACAGAATGCTCTATTGGGAATGTCTGGTTTTAATGAAGTTGGGTGGAAAGATTCAAGCATTTTCACACCAATAATTTGAACCCAAGGACCTTTTCTTTTTACAATTAATAAACATTTTTTGTGTGTGTCTGACTCTAATGCGTACCAAGGATATTTTCTCTTGTTGAATACGATGTGAACAAACAATAAAACAGTTGTAAAGTAGCAAATCTTAAAGCAATTACAATTGCGAAAGAAAATTTTAAGAAATCCTACAAATATTATCGATTACATTAGAATGAACACCAACAATTTCGTTCCCAATTTATTCTTCCTTTCTGTGAATCCATTATAATTATCATTATGCATAAATTAAATACTATTTCCTAAAATCTAGATGATCCATTTTGAGGAAGAAAATAATAAATGGTCAAGCTATGTGTGTCGAGCACAAGTAATAACTGTTTTTGATATTTCGAGTAATTCAATTCTCAGACGTTATTAATCAGACATGAATCTACCCTAGATGTCACTGAAAACTCCAGATGTATGATACAAAAGCCGACGAAACAATACGAACACTCTGTCAGGAAATAATGCACATCTTGTGACAATGGTATGCGCAGTGAGAGGAACAAGTCTATTTCGTATTTCAGGTATGAGAAATTCGGGCTCAGTGGATTTTCAAACATGACAATTAATTCTTTCAATGATTTAAAAAAAAGTTCTTCCATGCTTTTAACTAAACAGTTTACATTGAAAGAATAGGGGTAGATGCATGCGATATGAAATAATAAATGAAGATTGGACGATCAATGAAAAAGTAAATAATTGAAAGATGGAATTAATTACAAGTGAATGACTTATAAAAGAACGCAGCAAAAGAGCGACAGGATGAAAACAGTTAATAACGAGTGAATAAAACCTATTAAATGAATGATTGAGAAACATTAGTACTCGAAAAATAAAAATTGAACGAATGCACATTATGAGTTAATAACAGATTAATGAGAACAATTTAAAATCATTGAATGAATGATCAGTGAATGGATGATATGAATTAATTTAAAATGAATGAAAGAAATGTATAAGAAATTATAACGAAATTTATGCAGTTAATGAGCAAATGAGAGAACGAGTAACGTAAGATATCGAAGAAAACTACGAGATGCAACGAGGCAACGTGAGGTGAGGTACCTGCCCGAATCAGCAGCGCTACGACCAGAACGGTATGAATTACAAATGCCCGACCGGATGAATGAGTAATGGATATCGAAGATGCAAATGAAAGAATAAATGAATTCATGAAACGTCCCTAAACGGACTCAACGACCCCCCCCCTCTTCCAGGACTGTGGTCATGGAAAGTATATAATTAACCTCTACTTTTCACGATAAATAAATAATGCGCGAGGAAGAGTTGTGCCGCATCGCTGCGGTGTGTCAAGGCAGAATGTAAGGGGAATAGTACGAACAAAATCAATTTTGGGTTTTTATTCCTAGTGTTCCCCACAGTTTTGGTACATATATTCATGATGACGATTTTTAAACTTATTTTTTGCATATAATAATTCATGCTTATTCATTCATTAATATTTTAAGCTATAATTAATTCCGCAATTTCCTTGGATTCGTCTTTTTATTTCAAGAGCAAGTATTGAAAGTTTCAAATTGAAAATGTGATATCGATTTTTCGAAAACCTCTACCTTAGTAAAGTTAAACATTAAAAATTTTCAAAAGTGCAACAAAAGTTTTATTTAATAAAACAAATTTAACAATTTTTTTTATTTTAAATTTTTAATTTAATACCCCTATTCTTTCAATGTAAACTGTTTAGTTAAAAGCATGGAATAACTTTTTTTAATTTTAAATTTAAAAAAATTTAATTTAACAAATAGATATAAAGTCCTTCAGACGACGAAATTACGTTCCATATGAAACCCTGATTGCTTAAAAAAGAATAGTGCTTCATAGTGTAAATCCGCATGCATCTCCCCTTAATGTCCATATCTACTAAGGATGCCACATCGTTGCCGATTTTTCAAAACATTGATGTTTCTATAAAATATAAATGTTTAAATCATAGATGTATTGAAGCCCATATTTATAGAACATCGATGTTTTGTTTCTTACATTTTCGATATTTTGATCGTGGATGAGAAAAAGTTAAAATATGAAATAATAACTGATGGCACCACTGTGTGTTTTCTAACCAAACGAATGCGTTACTTACGTTCATTGAACAGTTACTATTCCTCGCCCGGGATCATCCTGGTTCCCTTATATTTATATCCTTTCTCATTTTTGGTATTTCACAAATGGACAGGTGTTTTTTGAAAACTTTATTTTGACTTAAATTTTAATTACAAAAAAAATTATATGCACGGCCTTTGTCGAATTAAAATTTTATTGCCTACGAAGTTAATAAACCTACTTTAAAACATCGATGTTCATGAACGTCCACGGTTTTTAGTCGATATATTGAATTGAATTGAAGCCTTATTTTACGTGGCGAGACTCGGGCCATCACGCACGCTCTTCCGTCTGACCATGCAAATTTCGCTACGCTCCTTTCTCCAACTAGCAGAAGAGAAGGACTATTTCTCGGTGAGAGAAACAGGCGATTTTTGAATCTAGCTCAGAGGCGTCATTTAGCGCTTGAGGATCTTCACATTGCAAGCTAAATCTACTAACAATGGAACGCCGCTATTACTTCCTTCCTCCGAAGGGTCAAAGGCGTACAGAAGGATTTTCTATCGCCCTTTAAGAATCCTACCGGCTTCGATCGGGTTTGAACCCACCGACTTAGGTATACCAGTCCGATACGCTAACCGTCGCCGCGCCGCCCGCATATATTAACATCGATGTTTTGCTATCGACGCGCACGCATCACTCCGACTTCGATTTCACCGCGCCGCCGCTTCGCGTCCGGTCTTCTCGTGCCGTGAGGCAGCCGCCCGAGGCGCCCGCCGCCGCCTCCCGGCCTTGCATCCAGGCAGCGCCAAGGTCGCGGCCCCCTCCTCGCCCGCCGTGACTCCGATTTTCTGTTGGGCGCCGGCCGGCGCCAGGTGTCATTTCCGGCAGGACGCCGCACGGGGCCCCTCTGGGCCGCCCGACCACGTGCGGTAGGACAGGCCTGCCCAGGGGTGTACAGAAGAGGGGCAACTTAAACCAAGCACCGACTTTATTGAGGTCCCGATTTTTTTTTTTTTTTTTAAATTGAAAAGATGTGAATATATTTCTAATCCAAATTGACCGTTACAAGTTATTTCTGATACATAGAGAAATGAATTCTGTGTATGAATTAGGGTAAGTGGGAATTACTTTGTTTGAAATAAGTAGAAGTAGTGCAGAAATAAGTTCTCTAGAGTTTCGTTCGTATCTTCATGAACAGTGATGGACAGGGGCTTCGGATGTCAGCGTGGAATTCGATCTTGGGGTCGCTTGTCTCTCAAGGCGCAGGCCATAGGGGAATCCCTCCCTTCAGACTCTCTGAGCCCGGGAAGGCATACGTGCGCCCGGGATGGCAGCGTACGTTCTTCCTCTATTGTCCGAAATACATCAGTCAGGTGGCCGAGATCCAAGATGCATTGATCGACCGCAAAACACCACAAGGGGGAGGGGTAACTGATTAAATAAATACAATTTTATTATTTCTCGTAACGAAAGCAGACGTCGCAAAGTCTTCTCTTCCGTGTTTCAAACGAGTAGCACTTGAAATGGTATTACGCAGGGCGTGACGGTGCGACTTCTTGAAAGGGGCGGGGCGGTGCGAGGCGGCGAGGTGGGACGGAGCGAGGCGGGGCATGGCGAATCGAGATAGTTCGGGGGGAGCGAGACGGAAAGAGGAACGAGGCGGAGCGAGACGGGGCGGAAAGAGGACAGAATGTAACATTTCTTCCATTTTCCCTCACACATATACATAAAATACGTCTAATCCGGAATCGATGGGGGCAAAAAAAAACAAACAAAGAACAAAAAAAAGACACTTTCGGGGGGCCTTCCGTTTTATACAGGGCTGTCCATTTAATGACACTTGTGATATCGATATTTCCGTTCCTTCTTAGTAAATTACACGACT